GGGGGGGTTTTTGAGAGCTATTCTTTTTACCTCATTAGGATTAGAAAAGAGCAAAGAGCCTTTTCCTGGAAGGTCCTTATATAGACCATCTTGTACAAGGCAGGACTCCAGATCAGACTTTCACCACTATCAGGGACATAAGAATTCATATACAGACCCAGACCCTGGGTACTAATCTCCTATGCCACCATCTACATCTTATCACCATCTCTGGAGTTTCTGGGGCCTTTGGGGAATTCTCCATCTTAGGAGAATGGTATCCAGCTACTCAGTCAAGACCATAGTCTCTGTCTCCTGAAGCATCAAGAAAAGATGTTTCTCCTCTACAACAGATTGAAGCCTGTGACTCACGCATGTCTATATAATAGAAGCCAGAAGTAACTGAATGATGTCTTCTTGCACATATTTTTTTTAAATATAGTTCCTAAGTTGTCATAAGCTACACTTGACAACTACAAAGCCTTCCTTTCAAGATCTAATGAGGGAGGGCAGTTTTGACTTCAGCTGTTCCAGTTGAAGTAGTCCAAGATAGAGCACACAGACTTCTCAATATTTTACATGGTTTGTTGTCCGGGATGTCAGGTTTCCTTGTCCTTTCAATAAATAAGTCTAGTTGTACTCAGGAAAGTTATGAAAAAAAACCTGATTTACAACTGAACGCATTCTTGAGTAGTAGGAGCAATCAGTGAAAGATCTCATCTCCTTATGCTATGTGTGGATCTTGCTGCCCCTGACATGTCCACATGTTTGGCAGTAAATCTTTTCATCTCCACTCTGCCTATGAATATCTGAGTCTACCAAACTGAACTGGCCAAATATGACTTATTAATAGGAGTTCTGCTCAAGTTCATTGTCAGATTGCCACAAGAATCTAGGCGAAGCCATCTGATAGCAAAAACATTGCTGAAGGTGGCTCTCAATGCAGTGCTTATATATAGCACCTAAGTAGATGGCAGTCACTGTAATGATGTGTGGTTCTTCAAAACTCCACTCCATTATGACTTGTTTTTTGAAGACTGCAATATTTTGAATAAGAAAACAGATGAGGTATGCTCAGAAATTCTATAACAAGCCTCTAATCTGGGGGAGTTTAGGGTGTCTCCAGGGTGGGGGTGGAGACAGGATCATTTTAATTAGAGCAGCTCCCAGACAGCTGCCCTAACTAAAATGCCACAGCATCACTTGTATTCAGTGTCCCACATTTCAAAATGGCTACAGGTGTGGTTTAACTAAAATTTGTTTGAGTTTTAGTTAAAATGCCCCCCGCTGTCATTTTGAAATGCAGGATGCTGAATACATTAGATAGTGAGGCACATTGGAGCATTCTAATTGGAATGCTCCAGCAGTCTCGATTAATCTCCAGCAGATTCAAAAAACTCACTGAAGCTTCAGAAATGGGGCCCATCTTTGAGACTGTCATTAAGATCATTTGGAAGAGATCACACATACTAGGATCTTCTTTTTTCACGTTCAGTAGTGATAAAGGGCTGCTAACAGTGTACTAACAGTGCAGTAGATGCAAGGACAGTATCTCTTAAAGAAACACGATTATTAGACAGGTAAGTAATCTTTTCTTAATTTGACACATGAGCTCCAAGCACATTTTCTTAAGGCTGTGGATGGAAATCTCATTTACTTGACACATCCTTTGTACACTTCTTTAACTAAATATTGTTTGTTTCTTACTTCCAGAGAAAACAATATAGAAGAATGTGGCTTGGAAATGTACTTCTCTGTTGATAAAGAAATTCTTGGTGAAATCAAGAGCCATGATTTGAAACAAGGTGGTAGCAACATTCTGGTCACAGAGGAAAATAAAGAAGAATATATTAGGTAAGAACAAATGAGGATACATTATTATTATTATTCCTTTACCTCTATCTGTTTCTTTCTCTAGTTACTGCAGAAGTTAAACTTGTCTAGCTACATAATTTAAAGTATCACTGAAATGCTTTCTATGAATAACTTACTATTAGAGCAGGTGAGAATATTTTGGACATCACTTTTTGAAGAGTCATACTGAAAGAAATGAAAGGCCTACTGTTATTCTGAAGGTGTTCAGATTTAATGTTTTATACACTCTGTTAAACAGAAATCTAGATATCAGAATTTTGGGCAAATCACTGCATGTATTGATCCCTGAAACCAAATAATTTTTACGTCTACTAAGGAGTCTGTTTTATATTAAATTATTATAATGCAGAATATTTTCAAATGTCAGATTAAAAACATCTGTTTACATCTTCATACTTTTCATGATCTTAATGCCTGTTGATCAAAAATATCTTTAATATTAACTCTTCTTACTAGTTTTCTTCTAGCTAGTCCTGCCTTGAAGTTGTAATACTTCATTTGTGACTTCACAGTCTTGTATCTGAAAAAACAGCTTGTGTCATAAATAGGGTTCTAAGTTTTCTGTTTCCCATGGAAAAACAGAGAAAACCATGGATTTCCCAGTCTTATCAGAAAAAATGTGGATTTCCCCTTTTAGCAGGGAAAGCCGTGGATTTCCCCCTTTTGCAAAGAGCTCTGCAGGTGGCTGAGTTCCAGCCTGCAAGGCTGTTTGCAAAAATGGCAGGAAAGCCCCAACCCTGCCCAGAGGGAGAGGGGGCAGGGTGGGGCCTGAGGCTTTTAGTCAGTCCCAAGTTTTGGGTCAGGCTCACTTTCCTTCTGGAACCTGTGAAGTAGTAAGTAGGGCTTGCAGGGGGCTGAGGGGTTGCTGGGCAGTACTGGGGGGGAAGCTGGCTGGGGTCTGAGGGAGTGGGAAGTTTTGCTGGGAGCTGGGGGTTTTGCAACCAGCTGAGACTTGAGAACAAA